CTCTCTCTCTGTCAAATAAATAAATAAATAATCTTAAAAAAAAAACACACACATTTAGTATGATTCCGTTTCTCTTGTAAAAAAAAAAAAAAAAAAAGTGGCTAAGGAGCACCTGGGTGGCTTAGTCGGTTAAGCATCCAACTCTTGGTTTTGGCTCAGGTAATGATCTCACGGTCATAAGCATGAGGTCGAGCCCCGAGGCAGGTTCCCCGCTCAGCAGGGAGTCTGCTTACCCTCTCTCTCCCTCTGCCTCTGCCCCTCCCCCTGCTCATGCTCTCTCTCTCAACTAAATATATAAATCTTAAAAAAAAAAAAATGTGTCTAATATGCATATGCACAAGAACATTCTAGAAGGATATACACTTGGTGTTAACAGTGTTTGTCTCCAGGTTGGGGGTACAGGTGCATGTCATAAAAAATACTCTGGAGTCCTCGTTCCCTTCTCTCCACCTGCACTCCCGGCCTCCCACGCCAATCCTTCGGGAAATCCCGATGGATTAGCTCTGTCTTGACAACATGCCTAGAACCTGACATTCTCATCACCTCCACTACACTATCCTAGTCCAAGTCACCACCATATCTCCTTTGAATCACTGCCACATTCCTCTAACTCCTCTTGGTGCTTCTACCCTTGCTGCCCCCAGGCTACTCACAAAACAGCAGCTAGAATGACTCTTTTCAAATCTAAGTCAGATAGATCATAAGTCTTCTGTTCAAAACCCTACAAAGTCTCCTCACTTCTCTCAGATAAAAGCCAAAATTCTTACACTGATCTACAAGGTCTTATGGAATTGAACCCATCTCTACTACTCTCCCCTTCATGCCTTCTTACCCCTAACACACTAGCATTCGGGGTTCTTGGGCGTATCAACACATCGCGCACATTCCCACCTCAGGGCCTTTGCACTGGCCATTCCTTCTGTCTGTAACACTCTTTCACCAGTATCTTCAGGGCTCTCTCTCTTCACTCCTTCAAATCTTCGCTAAGATATCACCTTCTCAAAGAGGCCTACCCTAACCACCTTATTTAAAACTACAACTTGACCCTCATCTTCTCCCTTACTCTGATCTACTTCCTTTTTTCCCATAACATTTATCACCTTCTAATATACTATAATACCTTACCACATTTATCATTTATTTTCCATCTCCTCCTCCTACAATGTAAACTCCAGTTGAGTAAGGATCTTTGTCTGTTTTGTTCACTGATGTATCACTATCACCTAGAACAGTGCCCGACACTTACTAGCGTCTCAATAAAGATATGCTGTTGAATATACAGAAGTTGCACTGTTCTAGGCTTTAACTTATATAGGTAAATATTGCCAACTAAGTCTTGGGAAGGACCATCTCTGTACTTTTCTTGCTATGATTGAATTATGTCTGTATCTGCTTGCCTCCTTCTCTAGACTTTTCCATTCTGCATTCTCAGCTCACTTTCTCCTTTCTCATTTGTGACCAAAACATTTATAGAACTACAAAATGGTATCCATTCTTATTATGAGATAGTGTGAATTTTACCTAGAAGTCTTTAACACTTTCTGTGGTTCTAAAATTACCGTCGACAATAAACATAACCCTAGAAGTAGTCCTTCCTTCAATATTTTTAGTGTTTCCCCCAGTTGTAAAAGCATTCCTTTATGAGGCCTAACATATTAGCCCCCACAGAGTTCGTAAAAAGCCAGCTTCTCTAGAATATAGATTACTCTTATGGGAGAACTACCAAGAGTTCTGATTAATGGCTATGTGGCCTATATGCTGTACAGAAGGTCCCAGTGATTTAAGGGCTTGGCTATTAATTATGACTATAATTTATATCCTTTTGCTTACCTGATGAAACTTTGTTCTTTGTATATAATAAAATATGTATATGTAAAAAAAAATTTTTGTTGTTGAATCTTAGGGTAAGAATTAGAATTTAAAATCATTTATTTATAAAACTAAGAGAGTACCACAGACTAGAGAACACTGAGTTAGCACTTGGGATATACAAACCCTGGGTCTATAAGACTGTCCACTCTTTCTCTGGCTAAAAGTTTTCCTCTTGATTTGTGGAGTTCTCGGGCTTTCTCATTGCCTCCTAAGATAAAAACATGATTAGATTAGACTGACATCATGTAACGTCTCCAATTAATTTAAGGCTAGAAAAACATAAAACAGTCCAAAATATAGTGCTTTTAAAAGTTCAATGTATCTTCTGAGAAACAGCTAATTTTCAGATCATTCACTTAACTTACAAGCTTTATTTTCTGAAGTAAATAAACTAGAATTAAAAAAAAAAT